GAAATTCTTGTTTCTTGAAGCCTTCGAAAATGCAACACATTAATTCGCAAGCTGTAAATATGACGATACTAATGCGAAACATCACCATTGTGACGTATGCCAATTTGTTATGTGGGTGGCTTTCAAGCGCTTCCACTACCACAAAACTCCAATCAGACTTGTTCATTACATAAAAGGTAAAGCCGGCAAAAAATCAGTCTTGGTCCCTTCTGTGAGAAGATGGCAACATGCGTAATGAAGCCTGTAACGTTTAAATCACAAATGGGCAGGTAACCCTAGACTTTTCTAAGGCGTACACCATAGCCAAGAAGTTCCTTGTCAAAGGTCAAGATAAAATTCTGTAGATTTCTAGGTCAATCTTGGTCTCAAAGTCGCCCTTTCTATCTGAGTATACAGCAGCCTTGCTATGAGAAACCTCCAGATAAGCCTCAACCAGACGCTTGCAATTCACCATTGTCATTTACAATTTTTTGAAGATTCAAACGGCTTCTGTTAAGCTTAAGATCTTTGAGGGCGAATGGGAAAAATCTAAATTTTGAGACTTGAACGTTTGAGACGAACAAAGATGCGAATCATTTTTAAGCATATTCCCAGAGCACTTGAACGTTTGAGACGGACAAAGATGCGAATCATTTTTAAGCATATTCACAGAGCGTCGCGCTAAGGTTTTCATTCCAGGAGTTTGCGGATCCTCAATATGGAGGCATCCTGAACTTGAATAGAGTTGACGTGAATTAGGCATCAAAGTGGTACATGATTACTGCAATTGTTAGCAATTCCGAAGCCATCGCGGCTATAAAATCTCTCAACGCATTTAAATGGATTATTTCTCACGTGGCGGGCTGAAAAGGCTTCCATCACAAGCGGTAACCCTGAATAGGCTGCACAAAGAGTTGCTACATATGCCAAGGTATAATTTGCACCGAGACCTTCTACGTACATGCGATTCCTTCTTAATCGTTTGTGAAAACTGCATTTGATGGGCCGCAGAATTTAATTTGCAGAGGTTGTTTTTGGAGATTTAGACTTGGAGAGGCGACCGTTCAAGCGGCGTATGATAAGAGTGACTATTAGGCATCTGCGAAAGTGGCGGTATTCGCAGATGTTACACCCACAAGAGCATAAGACATGAATGCATAAACTCTGTCAGAAAGAATTGCTCATTTCTCAGGCTAGATCCCGCTTAATAAAGTTTAATCTAATTTAGTTATCTTCCTATAGACCGCGTGGCGCCTACTGAGACTAAACAATTAGTTGAGAGTGTCTATCGACCGCAACGGCTCTCCATTTAACTTATAAATTGCAATGGTTGACTCATTGCAATTTATAAGTTAAATGGAGAGAGAGTTTCAGAATGTGTAGCTCGGTATAGCTTCACAATTAAGGTCAGGTACCATCCATCCTCTGTGTGAGATGACACCACTTCATCAAATCTTCTTATCGTGTTCGAGTCCGGCTAATCTATGGCTCGTGCCACTTCAATTAATCCGTTCATACATCATATTCCGTATCCTGATAAACTATCAACGCCTTGAACTTATTAAAGGCTCAGCTAGACCTTACAATGCCTCATCGCAAGATACGCGTATATCGCATCGTCTTTTACATCAATTTGCTAAACATATGCTTCTCTCATAGAGCGCTCAAGCTGAGCCTTTCACATATCTAATCCATTATTACTTGATTTAAGGAGTATTAGTATACTTATCTGACTTGCTATCTGAATATAAACATAACTATAAAACGAATCGCATGAGACTTACACACCATGTGTTCCACAAACGTTTTTCTAAGAAAATATCATCGCACTTATCCGTACCAAAGACCGATCATAATACTTCGTCATGGTTTATTATCACGGTAATTATGAGCGTCCGAGGGTCAACAGTGAAATATGTATGTGCACAATCATTTGATGTGCTTGTCTAGAAATTTTAGCTTGGACTGCTTGCTTTACCAACCCCTTGGAGTCTAAGAAATGTATCAGATTATTATGTGTTTCTTGTAGAGACCGAGTAAGAAAAAAGAACAAATTCTTGTTCGTCCTTACACAGTTAAACGAGGTTGCTGTATAATTTATACAGAGAAGACTTTGGCGCGAAACCGAGAGCCTCTTCGGTATCCGATGCTTTAACTTTGTTCAGCTTTATTAAGGATACTTTTATATATATGGGATTCATTCTACCTAGACATATATTAATCATGTACGATCAACTATCAAAAGCTGTCACTACATTCTGACGTGTGGCTAGCACCCACGTGCACCATGTACTCCTTTATTTCGGAGTTCCATCACGTATATTTTGGAACTTATGAATGTTCACAGTCACACCAAATTGCGTACAGCTGTATTTGATGTACAATGGTGACTGCACAACCTTAGAGTCCTTATACTGGTCTCACCCCACTAAAATGCGAGGCCCATGGTGACTTTAGTACCGCACAGATTTGACCGCTCCACGACTAAACGTTGCGCCTGGGAATCCCTTCGACTTCCTACATTCTACGATGTCTACTCTCACAGATAAAGGTCACCGAACGTCAAACCGCGTGCCACCAAAACGCTTGGTTCTCTCGATCGACGTACTAAAAGAACATCTCGGAAAGAATACCGAGCTGGTCTCCGATGATAGCAATCGTATTGACTCTCGAAGACCTGACCAGATGCCAGAAACCTCACTTGGGGATACACGGCGTAGCCATCCGTCAATAAGAGGCGCTCACTGCGTTTGGCTTCATCGCTGCACGATTCTCAGACTCCGCGCTCTAGTTTACCAGCAAAAGCGATTGCAATACCCCGCCGTGAAAGTCACGTCGATACTTATCTTGTCACCAAAATCTAAACCTGGGACAAGATGTACAGCTTGCTCTATTCCAAGTGCAAGAATTCCGCCGTATCTTTTGCGATCATGAAGTCGACAGTTACCGAAGTCATCGCGCATAGATTAAAGTTTGTGTCCGTGGAGAGTGGACCGCGACCGTGTTTGCAGCATACAGGTTATTACTTCCCCAGAAGTACCGTTTGCGCTTAAAGTAGCATTTGAGCAATCGGACCCTGCACTATAAGTTGCGCCATTTGTACTTGACGCTTGCAAAAGTGCCGATGGATATCAAATCAGCTCACGCACTGGATGAAAATATGCCGTCGCACCCATCTTAATACTTTACATGCCAGCTTCAGCGATGCGAACGCCTGCCTAAAGCATCATCATATGCTTGATATTGCAAAGCACAAAGCACGATGTGGATATCGATGTGACAACCGATTACCTCGCGATCCAATTGCCTCGATCGTCTCCATGGGACAGCTGTAACAGCAGCCAACCAAGAGTACTATCGCATAATTGTCACCACTCATAGTGGGAAGCACGCTGCAACAGACTACATTGTCTCTTATGTAAGGGGAATATAGGTCTAGGGCGTTCCAGGTCTTAAGCGACCACGTCAGCAGAATTATTTTGCTGAAATGGATTCTCGATCCCCCGCGAGTTTTCCGATCGGGGGTCCAATTTTACTCCACCAATTTTTAGGTAACACTTTTAGTGTACCCACCAACTCGAAAAACGCTCTACACGAAAGTGGACCACTTATTACTTATCGGGAATTTCCCGCACCCTGCGCATGATGTTCAAACTCATTAAGATAAAATACTTGATGGTACTACGAAGTGTAGCCGGGCTATGTCTGTGATCTGAATATGACCGACAGCCCCCCGAAAGTACCCGAGGTGCCAAAAAATGTATCGTCGAAACACAGACTGTAGATAACGTTATTTCGTGGTTTCATGCAAACTGAATCAGTAGATGCAATTTGCCCCAAGACCGTTGTCTTTCCACGAAAAGTTCGCAATTCGCGCACCGTCTCTTTTACGGATGAACGGCGATTCATATATGCAATCTGGTATCGAGCACCGTGCACAACGTTTGCCAAAACAGCGCTGTAAAGTGCGGAGATCTGCTGGAACAGCTTGGCCGTATTCTCACCACGGCGAGATCGGCCGTAATGCCCAGTGGTTCAGGAAAGACCATGATACCGGTATACCAGGCGCGTATTTTGAAGGGCTAAAAAGGTCCGTTCTTATGGACTGCCAACAATTTTCCTAAACTGGCAGACTGGCTAAAAGTGCTACCGCATGCAGCAAGAGTCTATTCGACTAACATGTTTGCATGTGGAATATACACGCCTACCCATTCATATGTTCACCTGGCAGTTTGTCTTTTCTCTTCCAAGGTGGCTACCTAAACAAAAATCATGTGCATCATTTAGAATTCTATACTTGAGATCCCCATTGTGATGCATAATATATACCGAGTGTCATGTGAATCGGTTTTGTATACAGGCGCATTAGCAATCTTCGATATAGCAACACGCGGACTTTATTTTCAAAATCATTGGCCCCCAAAGCTTTCTACAGCGCGATTTATGATACGTCTAATCTGTTCGCTGTTCGTTTCGTCTCGTCTTGCAGCAAACGCACCGTTGTGATATGCGACAATTCAATTTAGGGCGACCGCCACCGCGTTAAGTCGACCCGGCTTCCTTCTATTTCAAAAAATATACGACAGAGAAAGATGATCCTCGTGACATACTCTGCTAGAGACGTGGTGATAATGTTGCCGGACGCAACGAAGCACGATCTGTATATACTATAAACGGCTTAGAGCGATGCAGGTGCACTTTCGCTTCGACAAGAGAATTCTTCCTTTTAAGTGTTATTATTTTTTGGTAAGTAATTATTATTTAAAATAAAATATTTATTTATATATTACTAATGCTTCTTGCATGGCGCGTAGTTTTTCTTCTTTACCGCTTGATCCTAGAGAGACTGAAATGCGATCTCAGGCTCATGCCTATTGGCATCTGCTAATAGGATAGATTGGCTTATTGCAAAAGCTGAAGCGCCATAGACGACATAGAGTGGACGATCTGGATTTGGAATTGCCAGAATCGGGGTAAACATTGTTACCCTTGAAGACTGCCGCTTCAGCCGTATTCCAGCACGAATCGACATCGTTATTAGAAAGATTGGTGAGAATCATGCCATATTGCATAATAGACACTAAACTTAAAAATATAGCTGGTTAAGTCAAGTCACTTCCTAAGCTCTTCAAACCGATGCAATAGCCAATTCACGATGACTTTATCGCTAAAAATGCTTCATAATGAAGCGGCTCAAAATTGTGGTTTCGTCGGTGGTAAAGCACTGGAGAACGGTTTTTCAAGTGCAAACACTAGAGTGCTACTCGCAAGCGCTTGACGGGGATGATCACGTTATACTCCCCGTCGTCTGGACGACAATGGACGAATATCTCGTCGAAAATGGTGTTTGCGTTTTCAAGATGTGGTCTTAACATCTGTGTCACGTGAAATAGTTCCGATGGTAAAGCCATCGATTACCAGAGCATCTTGCTCAAAGCACTCATCGCAGTGAGCGCTGTCTCTCAGCAGCGGTTGACAACAGCCATATACCAGCTCGATGACATTGAACAATATGCATTTCTTTAAAAACTTCCTTTGAGCTTTACACGGGAATGATAGACTTGGACATCATTCTTTTTCCTTGATAAAAATTATACCATGTGATCTCCTCTCCTCTTCTCTCCCCTTCCTTACCCTTCTCTTCCTTTCCCTTCTCGAGAGAAGCAAAGAGAAACAACACTTGATTCAGGAAACCAAGCCAAATTCATGAAGCACTTCCTCATCCAGCTAACATAAAGAGAATCTCTTGCTTTCCGTTGTGATCTTTATTCAACAAATCAGAAAGAATACGTTGGAACGTAGAGATTACTTCCCACTCTTTGTATGTACATATCTGCGAGATAGACTCTTCCATGGCGGATGATGAGCCCAACTCCTACTTTAATCCCCACCATATCATTGCGGTGGCTTCACCGTCTTGCAATTTACGCGCATATCCTGACGATAATACTTTCAGCTCTATCAGAGCTTTTTCTGGCGACAAAAAAAGAGACCTACCGCCCCTAGAACTACCCCGGTCGCCCCATCCACAAATATATACTACTTATACGTGATGCGCACGTAAGTGCTGGTGCAGAATCTCCGAGACAACGTGATTAGGATGATTCACCCTTCTAATCTAATCGTCGCGTCATGGTCGTTCTCCTTGCGACTTATAAATGCCTTCGATCTCCACAGGCTCTAGCATGGACGACCACAGCTGTGTTTAACCAATCAGCCAGAGAAAACCTGGTGTACAAATAGTCTACAATTTTTTTCGGCACAGATAAAAGAAAGTGAACAACAAACATATTAAATAGATCACTAGGTATCAGAGTACTCAGACCGCAACTTTGGGCTTTTCCTTAAGTTCGAAGGACAATAATAATGAGAGTGTACAAGGTACGATATTTCAGCGATGAAATAGTCAATATGAGCGTCCATCAGGCCGTAGAGGCCTGTACTTGATTCTTTAACATTCGTACAATATCACAAGGGTAATGCACTCGCTGCATACTGCTTTAAAAAAAATATTTTTATGGATGAAAGCCTTCTTTACGCCAAGGCGAACGACACCAACCTGTAGACTCCGCTAATGAGGAAAATGCATGAGAGCAGCTTTTCGGCAATGTCCGCGGTGAAGCGAATAAGCCGGTACAAGGTAATGTGAGGAGTGAATGCTGAATTCTGAAGGGCTAAAACTGACTGGTATCATGTAGCAGCGAACATCGTATAAAGACTATACAAGTCAGGGGCTTCGTATGACGCGCCGCAATGAAATGGAAAGTTGTGAGCTTCGTGCGATACTATAGAATCGTGCACTTTAGCCCCGACTTTTTTTGTGGCTTTTTAGTAGGTTGAGGTCGTTCCACACGCATAGGGCGCTCAGATTTTCGAATCTCGCGTACCACCTGATAGAAGCACTCTTCATTCAATATCTACACACAAAAAGTGAGTGTGTGAGCCAAAGACGTAACAGATGAAAAATTCGACTATTGATATAATGACAAAGCCTTACTCTCTCTTTAGCACTGGTCTCCATAAAGGCGCACCCCCACTGACGGGCAAGTTCTTTGCCTTCATTAGTGGCCACCTGTCTCTGTGCATCCAAATCACACTTATTGCCAACAAGTACAATAGGTACATTATCCACGTCCTTGGCTCGCAGGATCTTGTCCTTAAAAGCGGAAATGTCGTCGAAGGAGCTGCGACTAGTGACACTGTATACCAAGAGAAATCCTTTTCCTTCACGCATCCACTACAGGGAAAGACTTAGTCAATTGGCGCCCAGTTTGTGTTTGCTTATAGAAGCGAACCTGATCCTGCATGGATGTGTACTCTTCCTGGCCGGCAGTATCTAGAATATCTAGCAGCGCCGGACTGCTGTCGATGGTTGTCTGTTTCCGATAGCTATCCTCTGCAATGGACAGATCGTTATATTTTTTACCTTAAGCATTTCTTTTGCATATAAAAGATGACCGCTGTTCATACCGATGGTTGGATCATAATCTTCAAGAAAATTATCTGTCACGAGGCGAATGGTCAGCGCAGATTTACCCACACCGCCACTCCCTAACACAACCTGAAGAAGCAGAACTCAGAGTTATTATGTGAAACTTGGGATAAGTCCTTACATATCCTCCTGCTCGAGAGTTTCTCTGTACTGAATTTTGACTTTCGTACCAGTTTGTACTCTTTGTTGTCACTCATTTTTCAGCGTCTTGGGAAGCAAGAAAGCAATGAGCACACGTAGATCGCGCGACAATCTCTTTCCTCCTTCAGTCTTCGCGACTCTGCCTTTGTCGTTCTCCCGCCTGGCCTGAGGTTCCGCGCAAGAGAAGAGACTTTACAGGGTGCGCATCCCGGTGGTCGCTTTACAATTGGAGGAAAAGATCACGAGGCTAGGGCTTAAAAGTGCCTCCACCAATTGTTAAGAGGTCGTTTCGTACTGGGTAAGAACGTCGTAGGTACCATCAAACGGGTACATTATCTTTTCTCAACATGAGCGTCATTCTCTCTTTTCCACCTGGTATCCGTACTATAGCCGCATTTCGTCGCAGTCTTATTGCCTCCTCCTCTGTCTGTGCTGTAGTCAGACTGCCTATCGCCCATACAGCGCTATTTTATTACTTAGACAGGCACCAGGCGAGACCAATTGCGACCTTAGCGGCAGAGAAAAACGTGTGCATGGTGTTTAGCGTCTGTACGAACAGCTGGACGATGAATTGTCGTGAAAAAAATAAGCACGACTTCGACAAAAACGACTGCGTATTCGCATGCAGCTTAAGGTTTGAAACAAGTATCGCTCGGTGGCGCTACTCCAGAGCTAATTTAGCCTGGCCTAAAAATATCCTCTTGTTGTCTTTTTGAGTCAGAGTCGTCTAGTGAATGGCTGATAATGACGTCAAAATTCTCAGCACTATGTCAGCTCCTGTTTACCTATTTGTGAATGAAATATCTGAAGATGCATGCCGCACAATGTTTCTCGGCGCATATCAGAATGACAGCCTGGAACGCGTGCTTTCGCCGCTTCGGCCCGAAAGAAATACAGATCCACCTCGATAGTTTAGAATTATAATCATAGCTTTCTCGGTGTTTTATTGGTAGAAAAGATGCTTCAAAAACCCTCGCATGCCAAAATCCTAAACCACGTGCCATGACACTGTCGTCATGCTCCAACTGGCGGAACGTTTCTCAAGCCAGCCGTGCGATCTGCACTGGCAAGACGCGATCTTCAAATTTATCGGCACGGTCCAAGTCTCAACCCATGCAATGTGACGGAAAGTTCAAGTTGTCCGCCAATCCCACTTCCTCCGCTTTGGAGCTAAGCATGGCACAGGCTCGTACCTACGTAGATAGCGCGACGTCTGAGCAGCTTGAGACGCGGCTGCAGCAGCTATTACTAAATTCCGGATTTAGTGACGCTGCACTTCTCATCGAAGCGAGTACGCACTTAAGCTCACGCTACCAAACAGCAGACGTAGTACGGCTCATGCTCGAGAAGGCCAAAAGTTTAAGCTCGCTGGAAAAAGCGGCGCAGTTGGTGCGTGACTTAAAGCTTCAGAATAACGAAGCACTCGTTACGTTGCTTATTAATGAGATGGTACGTGCGATGCAGTTCGGGGCAGCCGTGCGACTAGCTCAAGAGATGGTGCCGAACTTTGAGCAGTTGTCGGCCGCTGCGGATCGGCCATGTTGGTCGCCATCGGCATTAATTCAAGCCATGATCCGTGCACGTAAATTTCGCGCGGCACTAAGGTCGGCCAAGCAATTCGGATTGCTTGACATGTTTCCTGCTCCACAACTTGTAGCAGGCATGTTGGAGACCAGAAGCTGGGAAGAGGCTGTCTCGAGCGTCATGGAGATGCATCTGTTTAAAGAATTTCCACTTGCGAGATTGGCAGTGGAAATGATGCAGCAGCAACAATGGTCGCAGGCGGTCAAATGCATAAACAAATTGTCGGACAACGATAACACGCGTACTAAGTTTTGCAAAGCGTTGGTACGGGAAATAGCACATAGGGGCGATTTTGTGACCTCATTAACGTACTTGCGCGAGTTTAAGCTAGATCAAGGTAATGGCGACGCAGCGCTGAGTCTTTTAAGGGACCTGGTTGATGCTATGATTTTACAGAACGAGTTTTACAAGGCCATCAAGTACGCGATTAAATTCAATTTATCTGACAATCCACTAAACGATACCAATGTTCATGCAAATGGTCCGAAAATGCCACCGATGGACGAAAAAAACGTAGGGTATTTACCGCAATACAATGTTGAACATTTGATTCGAAAAACCATGAAAGCAGGACAACATCACGTAGCACTAACGTATATAAGAAAATTGCGTCTGCGCGATAAATTTGCGGAAGAGCTTGTGGAGATCAAGAAGGTGCAACAGATTCAGCTGCAAGAATTTCGACAGTTTGCGCGCTTGCGGCTCGCTCAATTACAAGATCCAGCATATCAAGAAAATTTGTGTATTTTGTTGAGCGACTTTGCAGAGGATGAAATGACTGAGCTTGATCCAATCGAGAAAGAAATTGTTCTTTTTGAGGAAAAGGTTATTCCGCGCAAGGTAAAAGATCGACAAGTCGGTATGACAGACAAATTGGGAGGCAAAGAGAGCGTGATGAAGAAGAATGCATTTTTTCTCGAGAACAATGAATTTGTCGACAAACAGCAGCAGTTTGCAAATCCAGCGGAGGCTGCTAGTCAGTCACGCTTTGGCTTCGCTCGATCCCCGTCGTTCCAGTCGCCGATTTTAGCTGTAGATGCAGCTAACACGGATACCCAGTTTTGCAGCCGATTAGAGCCACCGAGTAGAGTGTCCCTAATCCCCAGTATTATCAGCCTAGATACAGAGCCGTCCCCGGTCAACACCCAAGATTGCGCCGATTACTTCAACTTTGACAGTTTTGCGAGGTCGGTGTCGCTCAGCGGACCACCTCCATCTCATCGCTCCCTAAATACATGCTCTCTGCCACCCCAGCCGCCGCAACAACAGCCAGTTTTGTCTCAGCACCAACAGAATGGCCCAAAAGTTTCTAAGCATTCGATGCCTTCAGTTCTGAACTGTCAATTCGCTGGAGGACCCTCAGGATATAATTTAATGCCACCAATGATGATACAGCAAATGCCAACTTACTGTTCACAAGGAGGTAATCTACCAGAAGGCGTGCAGCTTTGCGAAAACTTGCAATCCACACTTATTGCTCAGCCAAATGGTGGAGGTTCACTTGATGTCGCCTCGCTCGCAATGCAATTCCACATATCCGGCAACAGTAATACCTCGCCAAATTTCGGCCCACGCTCTTTTATGAACTCTTCGCCACCGAGTGGCTGCCAAGAGTTATCAGGGATTAAACTTCAAATGCCTCCTCGACCGCCACAATCTAATTTCAAACCGAGCATGTCGTACACTTCGGTCACTACGACACGCCAAAAGAATTAATTTCACTTGTTTCATTTAATCGAATTGTCACATCTTATGTCACTAAATTTGTTGTAAAAGGTGCAATATATTTGATAAACCTTCGGAATAAGAGCTCAAAATATTGACGTTAATATATACCGTACTTCACAAAAAAAACACCTGACCTACTTTTGAAAGGTGATTTTGTTAA